CTAATTATTTCTTAGCACAGTTTACAATTTTTTTTTTACTGCAGTAAAGTAATACTGATATTTTTGTACTTCTTTCGCAAAACTACACACTTTTTAGATGCTAAACAGCTGACTGACTTCACAGGCAATAATCATAACCTGTAAACTGAATAAGTGCCAGACTAGAACGCTAATTTGGTAATTGGCAAAAAAAGAAAAGAATTACTCGAAAACCTGAGAAGTCTATGAAATAAGAAAAAAAGATTTTAAAAATAAAATAAAGAAGTGAAATAAAAGTGGTGAAAAAGTTTACTCAGCAACAAGATACGATTTGAAGACAGAAAGAAAGGGCCAACTACAAAAGGGTAAGAAAGTAGAGTTTTAAGAGAGAAGAAATTTTTCGTTATCCAAGTTTAATCTGAAACAGCAAAACCTATCCATTTGCTTATTGAAAAAAAAAAACAAAGATAAGAAAAATAAAATAACAGAACTTCGTTATCTGTAATTTTTGGTTGCTGAATTATTGAATATGAAAAAAAACAAAAAACAAAACTTTTGCAGTCATAAATCCATTTTTTTGTTTTCTTTCTGCTTTTCCTTCAAACCCTTTTTTTCGTGCCTCTTTCTCCTCTTTCCCATTTTAATTTTTGTTCCAATTTTCTTTCCATTAGTTTTTTTTTTTTTTTGTTCTATTTTATTACCAGATAGACCACCACACTTCAACAGCATCAGCAGCAGATCGTCAACAACAACAGGAAAAATAAAGATGACAAAAAAAAGAAAAAGTTTAGGTACAAAAAAAAATACCGTCAAAAGACGAAGACGTAATTGCACATCAAAATAGAAGAAAGAAGAAGAAATAGAAAACAAAAATGAAAAATAAAAAAGCAGAAAATAAAAAAAAAAAATAAACTTAGATAAAAAGAAGGAAACTATACAACAGCGACCAAAATCAACCCATATTAAAAATTCTTGCACAACTTATAGTTGTAGTGAAGCATTTTTCGTTTCCTATCTCTGCATATATATAAATAAATAAATAAATATATATATATATATAT